AAGAGGGGGGGTGGGGTGGGTGGGGGGGGGGGTTCGAATGAAGATGAATTCAGAATCTATCAATATAAGCAAACATAAACACAGAGATACAAATCAGAATGCATGCTACACGAAAAATACATTAAATGCTTATTTATTTCCATTTGATTAGCAAGAGCATTACACTTAAAGAGGCACCAAGGAGGTGATGAATCAAGATATGCATGGCACATCTACAGGAAAAAAGGGGAAGAAGATGCAACCTGCAAATAGAAATATGATACATACCATTGGACCAGGGATAGGCATTCCTTGGATGGGTCCAGAACCTGGCATTGAAGACGGAAGGCCAGGCATGTTTACTTGTTGTAGTTGGTGTGGTGGCCGAGGTAAATGAGGATGCGGCATTAGAGGCATATGTGGAGGCTGTAGTTGTGGCAAATTCGACGGTTGCAAAGGATGAGAAGTCATTTGTTGAGGTAGTGACTGCTGGTGCTGAGCTTGCTGCATGTTTTGTTGATATGCTTGCTGCTGATTACCCGCAAGAAGAGATGGATGTGGACCAGGAGGAAGAGGGGGAGCTCCTATAGGCATTGAAACTGGCATGGAAGACTTCTGTTCTCCTTGAGATGAATCAAGCGATAGTGGCAATGCAGCTCCAACTCCAGGTATTGTACCCTCAGTTCGTAACAAGCCAGAGGCAAATGCTCCAGGAGTTGATGGGGGCTCAGGACCTGGAAAATTACCAGGCATGCGACCAAGAACATTGTTTTGATCACCCAAACCTGAAATCAACCACAAAACCTGCGCTGAGGCTATTTAAGAAGTAAACTTTTGGTAGTTGAAAGTGATAGTCAAACTAAGAAGATTAACGAAGACTACAGAAAAAGAAAAATTATAATATTTCAAGAGTTTCTTTAAAATCAAGCTGATGTTACCCCACGACTACAAAGCCCTATGCTCTCGAATCTCGACATATGTACACAATCTGAAGCACAATAAACCAATAGCATCAAAAAATTAAAGATAACATTTACACGGAGAGGAATTAGTAAAACCTTGCTGTCCCAAATTGAATTTATCACGAGCTGGATCCCCAGGCCTATTTCTGCACCAGAACTTTGTTGTCTGATCATTGCTGCCACTGCATCAGGAACAAGACCGATTAGCTAGCTACTTAGGCTACTTCAGTAAAATGTTTTAGTGTTGGTGGAGAAGCATAAGGGCCTCCTTAGTTCTAAGGAGAATGATAAAGGAAAGAACACAGCAAGAAAAGCTTGAAACAGCCACTGAAAGACAGTGACATGCAATTCTCACACACTAGATAGAGGAAGAGAGAAAATATAACTCTACCCGATGGAGGTTCTGCAAGATTTAAATAAATATAAACACGATCAGGCCTAAAAAGCTAAATACAAGTAAGCAGACATAAAAGTTACCTGCCCAAGAAAGGTTGTAACAAAATATATATGAGATAGCTGACTTAGAAGAATCCAGTTACCTCTATGATAATAATGAAATATATTTGCAACAAATGCTATATCAATAGTCAATAATGCACTTTCATATCAGAGTTCAGCTAGAAAAATTGTGTTCAATACAAGCCACAACTTCACCCTTTACCAAGAAAAAGAAAATGTTCAGTTATTCTCAATTCATGTTGCACTTAAGATAACCATTCCCTACTCTTTTAGTTTCTATTTTTCTTTGAGACTGAGACAGAAATAGGGTGACATGTGTGTCTTACATTGCTATAACTCCTCTGGAAAGAAAACCTTTACCGTATGAAATACTTTACCCAGAAAGAATGACTACTTTGGATATATGAGAAAATTTTACTCAATAAAATGACATTAGATAAACAACATACATATCTTTTACCACCTTTTCTAACATCTTCCAACAAAACTATTTTCAGTGTAACTATAAGTACATCAAATTTGACACACTATAATAAAAGGGCAGTACGGCCTAATTGCCCCTTAAACTTGCACCAATTTTAAAAAGCCAGTTTATCAACTCTCGACTTTCCCATTTTAACACCTCAACTCAATAAAACTACACATAATAAACCCCTCCTTCAAAGCGTGTAGCTCAATTGCCAGCCATGAAGTACAAGTCATATGCTTAGACCAATATACTTGAGAGTTGTCATTTGTGAGTCCCAATTTTCAAAAATTAAGTTATCAAAATTTTAATACTCCAACTGTTTCAAATTAGATGAGGTACCTTCCTTTTTAATCCGTTCCAAAATAAATGACACATTTTTAAATTTAGAAATAATTCAACTTTAAATTCTTCATTTTACCCATTTTATCCTTAATGAAAAGCTTTTATAACCACACAAATGTCATGTTCCTACAAAGCTTTTACCCCTTAAGCTTTTAAGGCCACAAGTTTCAAAAGTCTTTTTTTTTTCTTAAACTCCGTGCCGAGTCAAACTACCTCATGTAAATTGAAACCGAGGGAGTATCTTCTTTGTTAATTTGCTTCACTATTTCTTCTACCCCTTTCACCTATACACAGTAAACCATGCCAGCATGATAACGACCTTTCACCCCTAACTCAATTCTCAGCCACCATCGTGAAATAAAATCTCAGCTACAAATAGGAAATTCAAACCTTTTCTACTTATAATAGTTAATAAAATAGAGAGAATACAACCAATATAAACCTATTGAGATTTGCTATCAAAATACTGTTCCTTAAACCAACAAAAGCATCCAACTTTCAGTGATTCAAGCAGAGGGAATTCAAGAACTTGGATCCACTAATGTTCTAGAGAAAGAGAAAGCGAGAATACCCAAGATAAATCAAGAAGAGGAAGGACTGAAAGAAAAAGGAATTTCCAGCAAAACTCCACAAGTTTCCAGTCTGAGATGGATACAGAAATGAGAGAGGGACTTGATGTGAAGGAGAATTGACAGAGAAATCTCCGGCCAAACCTAGTTATCTTTCTTTTTCCTCACTGCTGTTGCCTGGGTTTTAAAGAGGAGTTTTGCTAGTGGTAGTGGTGAGTGGCGTTAATATCGTTGGTGATGGAACGAGAAGAAAACGGATGGGGGAAGAAAGGAGTTGGAGAGAAAGAAAAATTTGGGTGAGGTTGGGGGTGGATGAGAATGGGGAAGCGAAAAGAAACATAAAGGGGTGAGGGTTAGGGGAGGGGGCAAGTTTTTTCTTATCTTTTCTTGCTATGTATAATTTTTTCCCCCTCATTTTAACCTTTTTAAAATAAAAATTATCACACTCACGCTTCTTTTAAGTCTGAGTTGAGGTGTCAAAATGGAAAAATCAGGAGTTGATATGCCGGCTTTAAAATCCGGTGCAAGTTTAGGGGGCCATTAAGCCGTTTTGCCTAATAAAAGCTATTCCTAATTGTACATATGCTTGATAGGTTCCCTCGATGGGAGTTAAAGCCAAGATACACGAGAACAAAAGAAAGTTACCACATAAGCAAGGGCCATAGTCGAACACACAACTAAATTAAATACACACAACCAATATAACTTCAGATTTATATCTGCATCAGAGTCACCTTGTTGGAGATATGAACTTAATGGAGAAAGAAAGTTGAGAGCCCGCACAAACACTTAAGAACTACAACAGCAGAAGCCATCATCCCCACGGCCTCTGACTGATAAACTTCTTAGTGCGGATAAAAGACAAAGTCAGATGTAGAGCAATAATTATTCACAAACAGGCGGTCTATCCACAGTACTAGGGAAAATCAAAACTAATAGACACTATGTGGAAAGAACAAACATAGTATAAGATTACAAGTAGCTTATCAGAGATGAAAAGAGAAAATCAAACAGAATTTAAAGAACCTCTTCTATAAGAAAGCGGAAAAAGAGCAAAATTTCGGGAATGCTTCGATTTTTTTACTGGAGCACAGAATTGCAGGGTAAATAATAACATGTTCTCAAAATCAGCTTCAGCTTATTTTTGTCATAGTAAACAGCAGATTCTGCACCATAGGTCCAAGCAACACTAACACCAAAAACTTCAAAACAATATCCAGTAACAACCACAATGGATCGACCAGAATGTCTAAACATGCAAGGAACAGAAGAAAAGCACACCAGTTTATGAGAAGAATTCTAACAATTAACATTTTAGAAAATTGTTTTGTTCAAGTGGAGTCAAGTACTAACGTAATAAACAGCACTTAAAACAGAGCTGCAGTTTAAGAAAATGCAGTATAACCTGCAAAGGAGATAGCCAATGGGGTGCCATGCAAGATCCCAAACACCAGTTTCATGTGCATTTGTAATTTCAACTTGAGGAGCTTCATGCCTGTGGGTAGAGCATCAAAAAGCCAAGAGAGACAAAATTATTAGAAGCTATCTGAATCACTGATAATAGGGGGAAATGGTGGGATCAGACTAATAAAAGTTGATTGCCTTATTGGGATCAGACTAATAAAAGTTGATTGCCTTTTTGGGTTCATTTTATAAGTGAGAAATCATATTCCAAACTATCTCATCACATGTTTGGTCGAGGTTGACAGACTAAGGAGCCCAGATGGCTCATTTATTCCCCACATTTTACAGAAATTGTAGGATGATCCAACACTGACTCAATACTGGGTAGAAATGATTTTTTGATTTGAAGCGAAAGAAGCAAACATGTGTTTATTCAATAAAAATAGGGCAACATTCATATGACAAAAATATTCAAGTCTACCTCTTACGGGAATAGCAAATAAAATGGATTTGAGTGAAGGGAGATGATTCTTCACAGAGCTCACAAGTTCAGGACACAGATCTGGCACTTTCCGAGGAGAAAAGGAAAACCACAGAATAACCATTTACCAATTCACATAGAACAACCATGTATGTCAATTTTTTTTGTTTTTTTTTAAGTTATCACAGCTCTTTAAAGTAAAGATATGCATGCTAAGAGGAGCAATTGAAAGAGAAAACTAGGTTCCCTCTCTTATCTCCATTGACCACTTTTTGTTGCCAAGAATAACCTAGAATTTTTCATCTCATAAGTTTCCTTGACAAGTCCAGGACTCTAGGCTATTAGCAATAACATTCATTCTGAATCATCATTTGTCATTCTTCCCAACTTGAATCCAGCCAAAAAGTGCCTGGAGTACCAAACTTCAGTTTTATTAAATGGTGCCAAAAGTGCATAAAGAAAAGGTTAATTTTATGGCACAGCAATTAGTAACACTTCCTCTGATCTATAGCTTGGTATCCTGTCACTTCATCAAATAAAAACTGTCATTCCAATGGCGGACAGTTGACAGAAGTAAAAAATTTACCAAGATTAATGTTCTAAACCAGGTCATACAACGATATTTTGAACGCACAAGAGATGCCCAAAAACTAAAGGAGGTAGCACAACTGATTTATAGATGATAGTGAAAGAATTTTCAAGGAACTTACCCCACAAGCCAATGAAATATTGAACCATCAAAGCTTCCGCTAACGAAATACTCTTCATGAAACGGATGCCAGGCCAATGCTGTAACAGTTATATGAAAATAACAGGCAATTAGCAGGTATCACATACAGTTGAAAGTCGACCATGGAAGCATGGTGGAGGAACAAGACAATAAGTGGAATAATAAGAGTGATTATTATCTGAAGGGACAAAATAAAGAAGCACTAAGATTTCTGCGTGACATAGATAGTAGGAAAAACTAAACGCGATTAACAACCCAGATTTTTATCCAGAAAAAACAATTCAGCCACTATCTCCAATCAATTATTTGCTTTTAGTCAACGTGATCTAAAATTCTTTTTCTATTAATACCTTGGTGAAATCTACTGAATAATACCAGCATACTAACTACAGATTTTCATCCGAGTCCATAACCTGGTTGTTACTTGACATGCTCGTGTAGTGTGCATTGCATAAGATATATATACACATAAACAAAAAGGTAATTCTTACATGTCACATCCTTCTGATGTCCCCGGAATGATTCAAGCTCCTTCATAGCCCTTATGTCATAAAGCTGAAATGAAACAGAATGTTACGATGACGGAATACAAACCCTTGCACACACATACTTGACTTGACATGATAATCATCTACACCATTTGCAGGTTTTCTCATTAGCATGTGATTAACATTCATATGAATGTAAGCTTTGTTCTTCCTTCCTACCCAAATAAGAAAACGAATACTGCAGGCAGAACCAGAGAAGTAATAAGTAGCAATACACTTGCTGTGAAGAAGTTGCAGCTAAAAACTAAGCTAGAAATGCTAGTTGGTTGCTGCCAACACTCTAAAAAGAGATTTTAGCAAGCCTTCTTGAATCCCAAAGTTACAGCTTTATAGAAACTGACTGAACCACTATTAAAAATCACACGGCCCTAAAACTTCAAAAACCTCAAGAGCACAACTCAATAGAAGGAAAAAAAAAAAAAATAAACATTTCAACTGAAATCAGCAACTTCAAGTTGATCCTTATTCTTGTGTCAAGACTCTTACTAGTAAGTGAAACCTAATAAAATCAAGATTTAGGGGGAGAAAATGATATTTGATTGTGTAATCTTAAAATGAGAAACAACGAGTAAAACTTTTCGAGATCAACTCGATTCAAATATAGTGCTGCAAAGTCTTTTATCTTTTGGGGGGACAATCTGGAATGAGAGGGATAGGGGACCCTTAATTATTGACCCATCATATCATCCGAAGAAACCGAAAATACCAAAAAGTTCAAATTCACAGATAATAACATTCAACCAATTCGCATTGACATAATAGGAATATTTCGTCGATTAAGGAGGATTCCCCGAAACCTGAAATAGAGATAATCATAGAAAATGTGAAATATTTGACAGGATCCATTTTGGGTACGTAGAATGTAAGAGAAATTCAAATGTGAGACTGAAATAGCTATACATACAAATCTATTTATGGAACAAGTAATATGTTTAATACTTTTGTCAATTACCATGCAATTTCAGAATAATGAATTGTGAAACAAAGATTGAGAAATATGCTCATGAGCAACAAATTTACACCACACATCATCACGTGCAAATCGGGAAAAAAGATCTATACTATTCACAAACTAACCATTAAAAAATCACATCCTAATTGCTTTTAACTGCATTAGCACCTCCTGGAAAAGTAATAAACGGAACAACCTACCTTGATAATTTGATCTTTGGAAGCAGTAAGGACCCAGTTACCATTTTGATTCCACTTTACACAGAGAACAGTATTCTTATGCCCATGACTGCAAAACAGAACACAGCATCCGTGTTATTGCTAAAAAAATTATAGCTCTTTTTTATAAAGTCCCAAGTGGACAGAAATAGTAACATTGCAGATTTAAGGAGAGCAGTTTTTGACTAACAATGAGGAAAGCTCCTTCCCTGACTTGGCATCCCAAAGTTTAACAAGATTATCTTTTCCACCTGCAAGCAGGACAAAACAAAGAATCAAAGAGCGTCTGTAAGTCTGTAACTGCTCAGAGCAGTTCCAAAGAAAAGAAGAGAAGAAAAATGCATATACCTGAGACTAATAGAGACTTTGTAGGGTGCCAATCAACACTCTTCACATCCCAACCATGGCCTGCCTGAGTTCAAGTGACATGAGGAACTATTCTTAGGCCACTCATGCTTATGTTATAACTGGTACATTAGTAAGTGTTGATGGCAAAACTGAAGAGTTATTGCTAGTGCATTCTTTGGAACATATTTTCCAATTAATAGTAAACTTTTGCCAGAACACGTGTTTAAACAGGTCATAACAGTGATTACGGAAGAGAGAAGTAATGGAAGGCAGAGTGCCATCTGACAGATAAAAGAATTACAGCAGCATGCATGTTATTTAGAAAACCAAAAATGTCGCTTTAACATAGTATCACTGATACGCAGTCAACCATCACTAATTTCAGCTTGAATCTACGATCTTATTAATAAACAGCTTGAGGGACATTACCAGATAATGAGCGCTCTTCTTGGCACCTTGCAAAGTCCCATACTTTAACAGTTGTGTCATCAGAACAGGAGCAGAATTTTAAATCTGTACTACAGAAGCTGTTCAAAAAACATAAGACTTAGCAAGCCACCTAACATCGTATATACCCTAGAAATAAATTTAGTGACGCAAATGTGCTGATACAGAAAACTAAAAAGTTATTAAAACCCAGATTATACATAAAATCTTTTAAAACCAAGTTACATCATTTAGAATAATTACCTTAATCCCCGTACAGATTCTTTATGTGAATTCTTATTGGCTTTGACATTATTCATATTGGTTTGCCAATACCTGCCACATGATACAGATGCAAACTCACGGAAGGTGAAGAAAAACACAACATAGATACTGAGAGTGTGAAATGCAGATTGTTCCAAACATGTATTTACTTTATTGTGCCTCCATCATCACCAGTGACCATCCAGTTATCATTGTGGCTCCATATCATTGACCTAACTGCTTGATCATGAGCCTGCACGTGAAACACGTTACATTGTTCATCCAATTCATTGTCACGTACTAAAATCTGAAATTCACAACCCCAGATTCATACCTGAAGTATCATTTCAAAGTTAAACGATTGCCCATTCCAGAGTGTGAATTCACCACTATGAGATCCAGTAATGAGGCGCCGCCCACTAGGAGTCCACTTTATGTGATTCAAGAGAAAATGTTTGAATAAGAGAATAAGGATTTAGAAGAAAAAATGCACCAAGGGTGTGACACAACCGAGGGAGAGAGAGAGAGAGAGAGAGAGAGTCGGAAAACTTTTAGTTCTACATCATCTGTCATAATGCTAGCTGGATCTGATTTAATTCCTTTAACAGTTGCTTTAGAGAGATAATGACATAAAAGCAGCCCCAAGAGGCTATTAGATTTCAAACAACAACATGTGACAAGATAAATCCTTTTATGTTTTTTTATTTGTTTACTTCCCAGAGAGTGGCTTGTCAGAAAAAAAAAACAAATACAAAGAGCTCTAACAAGATAAGAAAGTAGTACTTCCCAGAGAAAAACAAAATCATCCCAAGAAGAGTTCGATAGCACAATGAAATCACATTTCAAGGATCCAGATTCATGCAATTAATCAAGGCCTTGGAACTGTGTGAATATTTCAGACACTTGATGCTAAGAAGAACAAAACAGGATTGAACGATTTTACTAATAAATATTACTCCCTCCATTCCAGTGTTTGATTGGACATGCGTGCTTCTGGACATAGTACAAAGGTGCATGCGTGCTTCTGGACATAGTAATTCAATTGCCTATGAACATAGAACCAAAGATATACACAACAAAAGTATAAACAAATGATGAGGGCCAAAAAGAATCCTTCAACTCACCGCAACACAATTGATTGAACAACGGTTTTTATTTAGAGATGTATGAACAAATTTAGCAGCAAAACTTGTGGAGGGATTATCCAAATAGGCAACTGCTGGCAATACCTGCACCCATGAACAAACAAAAGATCATAATTAATAGAATAAATTAGAAGAACGTGTAATCTTGCTTATTTTTTTACATTTGTGCAACAAGAAACACATTCTCGGAAATTTCTGTAGAACCATTAGCATTTATTTTGCTGATTTCAGGAGAATAGCTTTAATAGTATGTTCAGTTGTAGGAGACTTCAAACTTCTAATTATATGTGGAATACACAAATTATCTTTAAGTGTTAGTTTGGTACTTTATTGGAAATCTAAGTTACAAACTTAACAATTAACTTTGTCCACTAGGTGGTACTAGAATCTACTTGGAGTCTATAATTAGCATTATATGCAGGTAAAACTGAACTATGATCACCTTCCTAGACTACACGTATGTTTTGGTTAACTTTCCTCAAGATTGCCTGATTACAATTCTTCAAACTTTCGTCAGATAAGGAGAATGTTCTCAAACACATGCTATTCTCATGGAACATGCTCTTTTTATTTAAAAATCTATGTTTACGAATACAGAATAACAGGTTTGAATAATTTAACATAAGAATATTGAAACCTACAGAACTTTAACCAATTTCTTTAGCTCCTGCTACTTTAATGGCGGTTCACTGTAGCTTTGGGATAAAATTTTGCACAAACCAAGAACTGAAGGACTATGTAGTTGGGGTGGTTTTCTGTTTTTACTTCTCACCCAGGAAAATTTTATCATAGATATCATCAGTAATGGAAGATCACAACATATAATCATACAAACTAAACTAAATTATGCAGAATCAATGACCAATTTGTAAGTGGAGCAAACTGACATCAACTGCTGCTGCTGGACTAGGTTGTAACACTGTCCTATCCCTCGAGTCGCGCTGCCACATGCGGATCTGCAGGAAAGCAATGGTTCTTAACTTTGGACCAAAATAATCTTACAAGTTGAAGAATATAGTGAGTACCATTGCCAAGTTGTCAAGCCCACAGAAAAGACCAAAACTACTTTGGTTTCTCATTCTCAATTTTCTATCTCGTTTTAAGAGGAAAAAAAATTTAAAAAAAATATGTTCTTTTTAATTCATGTTCTCACTTCTTTTTACTATTTTTAAGAAACAACATCTCATTATCCAGAGCTATTGCAACCAAAGAGTGCAGCAACTTATAATATATCGGAACATAAATAAAGCTCATACGGGTGCTAGCTACTGCCAATTAGAACCATGTTATTGGTTCTTGTGGAGCTGGAACTAGGAAAGAGGTTGGAGTCCTTCAAAAAACATGTGGCATTTCAGCTTCCGGAAAGATAATTAGTGCAAAGCTCTATAAATGTTCCTGAGTGTATGATTAATACTAGTAGTAGACAAATAAACCACTCTACATGCTATATTTACTGCTACTTGAGAACTAGTACTAATGAACCACTATACATCCTATCGTCTTTCAACTCTAAGCATTGGAAGAGCAATGTATGATAACTATTGTAGTACTACGTATCTTCCTTTCAAAATTTATACAATCATATCGCCGGAGTTCCATAAAACCTAACACAGAGAAACTCATACCATAGAATCAATGCGATACCAACATTGTGATATGGGATGATTGTTGTGTCTTTAAGGCCCAACATATGCATGAGTTGAGCGTCATAGAGGATGTTAAGATAGATATGTGATCATACAAGAAATGGACAGGATTCAAGATTATCACATTCAGCGGAAAGTACAAATAGGAATAAAATAAGAAAAGCAAAGCTCCATCTCTAAACCAGGATTAAAATAAGAGAAGGTCGCATGAGATGGTTTGTCCATGTCCTTTGTAAGTAGCCAAGTGCATCAACCCCTAGGTGCAACACCTATGATGATTGAACTTGTAAAAAAGGAACGAGGTAGACCTAAAATCATAATCTCTTGGCATCAATACGAAATTAACTAAGCACATAACATAATGGAAGCAAATCATCCATATAGTCAATAGCAACAAGACTAAAACTGATTAAAAAGAATCTTGCTAACTTTTTGTAATCGTAATTGGACAACAGCTCGTGGTTCTATCCCCTTGAAGAATGAAAAAAGAAAATGAGCTTGCACTTGCCGTAATTCCTTACGCTGACAGGACAACAGCTAATGAATCTAACCCCTTGCTAATTTATATAGTAGCAGTACAGTCAAACCTCTCATAGCAGCCTCGTTTGTTCCGAAATTTTTGACTGCTATAGTGAAGTGTTGTTATAGAGGACATATATTATAACATAATATAATATTCGATTCCGAGAAAAACTCGGCTTTTATAGTGAATGTCTATTATATAGGGATGTTGTTATAGAGAGGTCTGCCTGTATATAGAAGAACATTTACTGCACCACATTCCATAAGTAGGTCTCTGGATAAAAGCCCACATTCAAAAGTTATTACCTGCATATATCTTACAACTGTACTAGTGTAATCAACTGCTCTTCTTTGACCAATTTTTCTCATTCTCTTTGCAGCAAAACTGTCAGCATGAGCTGCAAATATAAGGAAAAGAATAAAAAAATTAGTAGCCATCATAATTCGGTCCAGTAAATTATGTGTCATCAAAGCAAAAGCAAGTCCCTAAGAACCAAGGTAACATTCATCGTCTTTTCAACTTTTATCAGAAAGAGGATTGGACCTACACTTACCCAAACAATAAGAAATGGCAGGTCCTGTATGGATTTGATCATATGAGCAATCATAGCCTTATAGTTGTTATCAGTCGTTTTGTGGGTAAGATGAAAAAAGGAAATCAAAATTGGCTGCTGAATCAGATAACAAGAAACAGAAGTGAAGAGGAAATTGCCTATTAACCTTCTTACTGCTTCCAACATTCTGCCTTTATCTTGCTTCTCTTCCAAAGTGAAAATGATAATTGGTATAATAGCTCAACGTGATCTGTGAGTTGAAATTTTTCTTTCTTCTCCAACTAGATAGAAACAATATCAAATAACGACTAAAGAGGGTATTCCCAAAGAACACTAAACCATAAGTCTCTCCCTTTGTCCCTTTCAAGTTAGGTCCAATTTACAACTTTCTGCTTCTACCCCTTAAAGATTTTTTTTTTTTAGATTAATCAATTACACAACGGCATTTTGATAACTGGTCAAACAAATAAAAGAAAAAAGAAAGCTTTAGCTAGTTCTTTTTTCCAATGACAAATTAAGTTCATCTTAGATTCCAAATACGTCCTACCAGTCGTACACTATGCTAAAAAACATGTCAATTCAAATATGAGTAGTAAAAGAGCAGATGAAACATTGATAAACAACACATACCATCATAAGAAGGATGAGGAGCAGGTCCAGGTGGCTGAGCATTAAGAGTAGTGGAGGATGCAGATGGCTGCCGCATCATGGGAGGTGGACCTGGTGGAGGTTGAGGACCCCTTGGAAACTCTCCAAAATGTGGAGGGTGTTGGTGCTGGAATTGTTGTTGTGGCATCGGCTGGTGCTGCTGGTGCTGATGTTGATGAGGATCACCACTCGTCATCATATTTGAGGACAGAGGTGGATCCAAGATTTAGACTTAATGGGTTCACGATTCAGAGTTCTAGAACAGTGACCTCAAGTTAATACACAATAATAATCAGACCAAGCAACAGGTATCAACACTCGATACATATTTCAAATTTCAAAAATTTATAACTAGCTAAACACAAAAACATATATATAAACATTGCCATTACAATTGGCCTCAATGACTTCTCATGTTTGAAAATGATCAACGATCGCATTATTAGGAACACACACAAACGCAACAACCTTCCTTATTCAAGTTTCTTAATAGAAAAGACCAGTCTCTAACTTTTCTTCCTAACACGCTGAATGGCTCAGGCCATTCCTCCTACGCGAAATACCCCATAGAGAGCTTACACTCCACATCCAATTCAGGAGCTCACATTCTAAATTTCTATTTTTGAATATCAACTTTCAACCAAAAAAAATTAAGGAAAGCAGCGCTGGTATCAAATCGTATAAAAATGAGAGACGGAAATTCTTAGAAATATTATGCCAATGTAAATTCTTAGAACATAGTTTGACTGAAGGATAACGACTGAAGGAGCTAGTGTACCAGTTTACAGGAAGGAGAATAAACCAGCAACAACGAACTTGGAACTCCGGCAGAGAAAGCCCGTCGGCGAGTGGTACGGTGACTGGCGGGAGGAAGTAGCGGCAACTAAAATCAAAAGCTTCCTTTCAAATTTAAAACCCTAATTTTCTCACTCAGTTTCGTCTGGGGCATTCGGAGGAAACATAAGTTTGAAAAGGAACGTTATTTTCGTTTTGTTTCGCTCAAATTTTTGGATTTTGGAAAAAGAAAAAGAGAAAAAAAAAATCTCTGTTGCTTGAGACAGGAAGGAGTACCGGAGCAGGAGCTGGATAGGTTTGGTGATGAAGAGGGAAGAACACTTTGTCTGGGCTCGTTTTGAATTAAACTTGATATTGGGCTAATTTGTGGAATCCGTGTGAAATCCTTCAGGCCCACACCCAATTATTACAAGGCAATTTGCCATTTTATAAGGAGTTCGGCCAAGCTTGAAAAAAAAAAGTTTTGAATAGAAGCAAAAGCAATTTTTGAGAATAAAAAAAATAAATTCTCTGTAAAAGTATTTTTCTTAGAAATATTTTTTAAAAACTTGGTCAAGCGCTAATTGTTGTTCAAAAGTTCATTTACAATTATATTTTTTCTTATCCAGTTATATTTTTTCTAATTCCAATTCAGTTAAATTTCAGTTTATGTCTTATTTGGGCCTTCTTAATTCTCTTTTGGACCAAAAAAGGGAGCCACCTCTAGGCTGGTGATTTACACAAATAGGATATTTTTGTGCTTGTATTTAAATTTTGTCCTTACTTTTGACATTTAAACAGATTTTTTTTAAGTGTAATGAAAGGATTTTGGACTAAAATACCCTTAAGCTTAGCTATCTTCTTATTCGAAGGTGGTGTCTTTTTCTTCCGAATGTCCAATATCAAATCAATTGAGAAAGGGTATTTATTAGTTGGACTCTTTTTTTTTATACAATATTAGTTGGGTTTTGTAACTTGTTAAGTTGGTGAAGAAAGTTTTTTTCTCTTTTCTTCTTCATTTTTCCAACTAATTTTATATCTTTCTGAAGCTATTTTGTTTGGAAGCAGTTTTTACACTGCATAAAGATTTTGTCATTCAATTTTATTTTTTTTAATTGCTAGTATGAAAAGAAATATATATTGAGGTAGTGTACTCCCTCCTACTGTTAGAGAAGCATGGCATATCATCGTCTAAATCATTTTGTCTATGCTACTTGTTGCTGAATAAAGAATAAAGAATAATTCCATCTATATAGTCAGGATGGATCAAATCAAAATTTTTGATGCCTTCAGTTGTCTTATTCTGATAGAAGCACTTCTCATTTGTCTAGTTGGATCAAGCCTATAACCAATCTTGGCAACTAGTCGAAGGTGGTCCGGGGAAGGTCCGCACCACAAAGGTTTATTATACGCAGTCTTACCCTATATTTTTACAAGAGGATGTTTCCATGGCCTCTAACTTAATCTTGCAGAGTATCTTCCAGTTATATAATTACCTTGTGTGCCATTAAGTAACTGTGAGATGTGCTCGTCTATCATACTTTGCTATCATGACGTCCCTCTATAGGGAGTATACGTTCTAATATTCCACCAAGATTTAATTGTGAAAGCCTTATATGTGTCATATATCTTCTAAATTGGGGCTCCACCTTCTTGGTATGGGTAGCATAGGAACTCCCATGAGGCCTAACAATATCTCATATTTTCATTTGTTTCCCTCCAAAAGATATTGACCAAGATCTTCTCTATATGATTTTGATACTCCTTTAAAAGAATGCATTGTTGCAAAGAATTAAGTCATCTGCATATGTTATGCGGTTGACATATGGTCCATGTCTATTCATGTGAAAGCCAACATATCTTCCCCTTTGCCGGATCTTATTCATCATTATTAAAAGCAGTTCTGCACTGAGCACAAATAAGGATGAGATAATAGGTCTCCTTGTCGCAAACTATTTTGCGACTTGACGAAACCATTCTTTGCACATTCACAATCAATGAATACCAGTTATTTGATATATGTCTAAATGTTAGATTAACTAAATCTTCTAAAAATCCCAATCTTCTCATCAGCTTACATATGTATGGCCATGTCCTATTATACGCCTTTACTATACCAAGTTTCATTACAACATTACCTTTTTTCTGTGGTTTCTTTGTCTTTAATGATTTTCTGTGCCAGTAATATTCTTTTGGAGATCAACCTTCCTTATTGAAGCTTGATTGGTTGTGGGACATGTTTTTAGGAAGAGTTTGAGCCAACCTTACGTTAAAGATATTTTTTTAAAAATTATTTAGGACATTAAACACACTGATTGGCCGAAGATTATTTAGTTGATGTGGGAGATCCACTTTTATAATCATAAACAGACTTGTGTGTAAGTAAAACATGGGGATATGCATTTTGATAATTATTGATTAGTATTTTTTTATTTTATAAAAGGCTTAATTTAATCCATCCGAGCTCGGTGTACTTTCTGGATTAATTAACACATATTATTCTTTACCTCTTCTATTGCGGGAGATGATATGAGCATTTTATTGTCCATATATACTACTTTAGTGTTTAAACAGTCTAATAGTGATAAATCTTCTTATGCCTTCCTGTGGCTAAACATCTTCTGAAAGTACTGAATTGCATACATCTGCAAAATGTCTTGGCTTTCTTTTCTCCAAATTCTATTTTCATCTTATATTCTCTGTATTTTTAATCTTTTCCTTCTTCTCTTTATGACATTTTGGGAATATACTGCATTTTTACCCCTCCCCCCCAAACCAATTTGGCTTAGCTTTCGGCCTGATCGGATAATCTTGTAACTAAATATTGAAAATACTTAGTTTTAACTTTATCCAACTCTGTTCTCTTTTTTGGTGAACAATCTAGCACCAAGACTTCTTCAAACCTTAATATTTGTTTTCCCAATTGCTTGGGCTCTTCATAGATATCTCCAAAAGTTTGCCTCGACCATACACTCAATGTGTTGCATACCCTTTTCAATTTTTGGTGTAAAACCCATAGTGGATTTCCGACAACTGCTTTCTGTCAACTCTCTTTTACCACTGAGATAAGGTATTCATGTTCCCCCAGAAATTTAAACACAAAAAATATTACGGTCCATTAATCTTTGATGTCTTTAGTATGATCAATAGTGGAGTATGATTCGAGCTCACTCTTACTAGATAAATAACAGAGTGAGCTCTTCCAAATAGTTCTTTGAAATCCCATATTACCACTCCATGTGAATTTATTTCCATAGAAATTTGCAACTTTTAAACCACATTCTCTAGACAATTAAGAAAGACTATACTTTTTTCAACTCTGTAAGTTCCACCTTGTTTATCTTCAGCACTAAGGATGACATTGAAGTCCCCTATTTCCCCCAAGAGCCTTGAATTTTATTGTCCTATGCTCTTAGCTCATTCCATACTTGTCTTCTCTCCTGAATAGTGCACTTTGCATACACTGTTGTGATGTGGATTAGGGTTGTACTCAAAGGCATCCAAATTGAACAAGTCACTTGTTGTTATGTATCTTCTACTATGTGCAATTCTAACTCAAAAGACTAGAACAACCAAAATTTTATTTTTACGATTTATATAGTAGTATTGTATTCCAAGTTATAGTTTGCACCTTACAATGTATTACAACTTAACCATCGATTATTGACTAGAAATAAATGAAATTTTGTATTATAATTATAGATGTTTAAGCCTCTTTGAAGCTTGTTTGGACTTCATGCCCCTAGTGTTCCATGATAGTGTGTTAATAATAAGAAATATTAGGGATTAGTTCCTTTGTATCTTTCTTATTGCGCCTTGGAGCCCTTGGTGAAGGTCCCTTTTTACTCCACTAGAGCTGTGGAGTTTCCTTAGGGATAAGTTATTAAACTATGTTATTTTTACTGAACCCCTTTCTCCGAGACATTCTCCCTCTCAAATTCTAGGGCTCTATGTGGCCACTTCATATTTCATCATCAGATTAAATTACTACTTCCTCATGTTGGAGTTGTCTAATACCTATATGTAACGACCCGTCCAGTCGTTTTGTGTATTGTAGTCACGTTCTCCTATTTATCGCTTATTCTATGTTCATTCGTGGTTACGCGACTTACCGGAGTAGTTGAATTGGTTTCGGAGAAGTTTCGAAGTGAATTGGGACACTTAGTTCCAAGAGTGGAAGCTTCAGTTGAAAGAGTTGACCAGAGTTTGACTTTTGTGTAGGCGACTCCGGAATGGAGTTTTTATGGTTTCAATAGCTTTGTATGGTAATTTTGGACTTACGCGTTGATGAGTGGTGATTTTACCACTCATTCTAGTCTCTTTTCTTTAGTTTTTATGTCCTTTAATTATAAAATGAGGTCGTTTATAGTGTGTATTGTTAGATTTTCAGGTGAATGATGCCATGAAGTGATTTGAATTCAATTGGAGTGGAATTGAGCAAAAAAGGGTGAAAACCATGCAAAACTCCCCTGTGATTCCGCATCTGCGAAAGATTGGTCGCAGAAGCGACTCCGCTTCTGCGTGGACAAGCCCGCATCTGCGAAAACGAGTGCTCTTGCAAGAAATCTCATCTGCCTTTAGATTACCGCTTCTGCGGTTGCGCATCTGCGCTTGGTGGACCACATCTGCGGTGATAGAGTTTATTTGACAATTCGCATCTGCGATGGGCTGTCCGCATCTACGGAGGCGCACCTGCGTGTATTCTACCGCAGGTGCGGTCAACGGGCATCAGACTTGGGCAATTCAGACATTTCACATGTTCTCAACCCCAAAACATTTAATACCTAAACCAGCTCATTTGTAAAAAAACTTTGGCTTATTTTCAGTTCTAGAGAGAGAGAGAGAACAAGTTTTGGAAGCTAGGGTTTGCACACACACTTGGGTTTTGAAGATTTCAAGCTTGTGGTTAAGGATTTCTTACCCATTTATTCTTATTTCTTCATTTCCTTACTTTGTATTGAATATTTAAGTGTGTAGTATTTATTTCCAACACTTGAATCTTGTTTATGGGAATATTCATATTTAAAATGTGGATTAAATACCTTGTTGTGCTTATGTATTGAATGATTTTTTATCCATTTATGAAATGAGTTGTTGTTTCTTTAATTATTCTTGTTCTTTAATGTTTCCAAAGGGATTAGCTAACCCTAGGACTCACCCATTTACTCCGAATTAATTTTGGAAAAGATAATTTGGGGTTGGGAAAGATTAATTAACAAGAACTTGAGGCGTTAACCCTCATTTTATAGATTCTACCTAGGGATAGGATTAAACTACTTGTCGCCATATCCGGGTGTGCTTAATCTCCTAATTGTTTTAGGGATAATTTAATTAGGAAGTCTTG